TCTATTATAACAATAATAAATTATATATTAAAATTTTGGTACTTCAAATTTGGTCTGTTAAACTAGTGATTCTAGTATACAATGTTGTACGTAATGTGCATTACGTACGTAGCAATTAGCAAGACCCAATAAAAGCAATACAAATAAAACTAATGCATTTAACAGTTAATTTTCAAATGTTTTTATTTTACAGTATCGAGAGTTTCAAAACATACAGTAAAAATGATTAGTTACAAGTAGTCATATGTGCATAAGAGATATTTCATATTGAACAATGATTTGTTATTTGTTTTGAGAAATAGTAATGCAACGAATTGGATAAAATTTATTTAAACAAAAGGTGATTGGTATGAGTACAATATATAATCCATAAGTTCCGTCGCATGTCATTTTTGAAACTGAAGAATATTCCCGCATTCATGTATCGATATTCGTATATTATCAGTTATTATGAGTTATTATGTTATTATCAGTTATTATCGTTGTTATTATCGCTTACTATTACGTATTATCGTTATTGTATGATAAATCATTGATACGTATTGATACAATTGATTTTTTTTTTAGCTGCGGCCGTGTCTCTCCAATCCAATAAAAAATTCTATTATTTAATTCTATTATTTAATTCTATTATTTAATTCTATTATTGCGTTTATTGAAGATTTATTTGTATATATTCGGATTAGGATGCATACGTGTGAGAAATTAAGTGGCTAATGTTTACTAAATAAAGAAGCAAGCGAGGCTCAGTGAACACAGAACCATTCTCTGCAGGGAAAAAAGTTCTGCTTATTATAAAATTATTATAAAATATTCACTTAAACAGTCGGTTAATAAAATATTAAGAGGACTATGTATTTGGTGACCCTAAATGCATAATTTGATTTCGTTTAAACCTCAACGAAGTGCTTGTTTGTTTTCTTTCCTAATTTTGACAATATATCGTTTTTCGGTCAATATAATGAAGGTTGCACTAATGATTATCTCGGAGCAATGTAAAAATTTTAAAAGACTACTTTCAGTCAAGATATTTATTACGTATAGATATCTATATATACTTTCAATGAAAATGATGAAAGTGGCTGTGTCTAGAAAATTCGTATCAAGTTTTTGATATTATTGATATTATTGATATTATTACACGTGATATTTCCTCCGCAATAATTTTTTATATATAAGAAAGGTTAATTCACTAATTGATATCAAATTTTTTTTCAATTTAATAAGTAGATCAATCATATTTCTTTCATGCAATTACTGAATTATGCAATTATAGGCATCTTAATAAACTTTCCTACTGTACTTATATTCTTTATTTCTTTTCACTGTTTGTGTAAATCAATCTAAATAAACCCAAGCATTATCATTCGTACGATTTTTGGGTGCACAGGTAGAAGATAATTTATTATTCATATATTAAAATAATTTTTCGTTCTGTTAACCTTAATTTCCTAACGTTTTGGAATTTTTTTTCTTTTAATCTCCTCTCACTGACCTTTTTCGTCATTCTTTTTTATCTCTTCCTCCTATATTCTTCCATTCTTCTCTATTTTCCTCCTATTTCCTCCCTTTCGATTAATATTTCTGATTCTACACTATTATCACAGGTTTACTATCATCAATCGTTGTAACCTACAAACTTGAAAAATACTAGTTGATGTTTTAGTTGTTTCTTTTTTAAACTTGGTATCATCTTCATAAAAAATATATATTTTTTATTATAAATTCCTAATAAATAAGGTCTTTTGAAAATCTTTTTTTTTAAAAAAAAAAAAAAAAAAAAAATTAATACTTTTCCGTAATCAAAAAAAAAAAAAACAAAAAAAAAGTGGCAAATAAGTTCTAAATAAAAAAACAATAAGCCATGGATTCTCTTTTTGACTCTCCACAAAATACACCTCCAAGACACTCGAGTATACCCACGATTTCAACTACGTCTTTTGCAGATCCAGACACTTCACCAAGACAAATAAATAGAGGCTTCACTTTACCGACACCTGGGTCTCCTAAACGTGGCTATAAAAAACCTGCTAAACCTCGAGAGTTTGCAAAAAGTGCTAAAAAACGTCAATCTGTTTTAGCTCTGGGTAGTATTACTCATTTACAACATTTTTATGCAAAAAGAGGAATAATTTTTAAACCAAAAAAGCCAAAAAACAAGTATGCTTTTATTTATATATATTTTTTTTACAATTTTGGTTAGATTTTTTTTTTTTACAATTTTTATCTTAATTTA